TGCTTACTTTTTTGTGTTTTGTCGTTACAGAATTTTTGCTCAAATCGTTTAGGACAATAACCAACTAAATGTATTTTTCGGGACGTTTGCACCTTTCCACAAATTGGATGACAAATGTTTCTAAACAGACTTGAGCGTTTAATAAAAAAAACGGCGTTTTAGATGATTACTCAAACATTGCAAAGTGCTTCTGGACAAGAAGTGTTTATAGGAAGACAAATGATGGTGTAAATCAACGGCTCTCATTGTATTATAACAGCAATAAGCATAATTTGAAACCCTTGTGTCAATCCACTGCTGCACCAAGGCCTCTGCACACCAGCTTGCTTGTTTGACCATATTTCACCACACTGGTCAGCGTGGGCTGCTGGTGAAGGGCGGGACAGGTCACAGGACCGGTTCAGCTATCGCTCGCTCCTGATTTTATCCATCGTTGGTGGGACTCAAACTCGGGCTGCCATGTGACATTAAAGTCTGCGGATAGACCACGCAACGCACAATTTAAAGGATAAGAGTTCAAATCCCATTCGGGGGTTGAGAACCAATCATCTTTCTAGGGTTCAATACAATGAGTACGTGCCACTTTGTTCGTGGTCAGAAGCGGCATTCTGTGTAGAGGCTTGACCTCCCACGCCATAGGAATATGGAATTTCCACCACTCGCTAATGGCTGTTGCTTGAGGTGAGCTCAGTACCCCATTGATTAAGCGTGGAGACACGGAGACGCATTTTAAACACAAAAGCAGACACACACACACACACCCCATTTAGCTTTCTTATACCGCAGAGAGCACTTCTGTCAGCACTGATTATGGTCATTATGCACACAAACTTCACACATCTCGTACACTGGACGAACAAAAGTGTTATTTCACAATAAGTATATACCCTTGTCCCCAAGAATTAACAGTGTGTGTGCTTAACACCTTCTCAGTATCAACACGTAAAGCGCACAAAGACAAAGATCCCCAGTTGTAGCTCTACCAAGTTGTTGGGGCAAGTGCTGTTAGCGAGCACCAGTGAAGGCCGGCACGGGCACACGAGGGCGTGGGTGACCTGCACCACGCCCGGCCGTCTTTATCTCCCCAGTGGCGATGTTCACACATTGCACCAGGTACTCATTTGGGGCTGGGTCGACCTAGAGGATGCCCAGAACCGATGCAGATAATCGGCACTGATTTTGGCCAGGAGTGGAAATCGAATTCCGGTCACCAGGGTTTGTAGAAAAGCTCGCGGGTCACAAAACCACCGCTCCGCACGCAAGGCACTCACAACCTAACGATCCCCCGGTATCGCCTTGACAGACTTTTTGCCGCAAGCGCTGTTAGCAAGTAGCTATGAAGACCGGCACGCGCGCACACAAACACACGTAGCAGGTCCTTTGGTCCGCGCAAGTTCGCGAGTGAAAACAGAGAGCGGCATTGTTAGCGGACACGGTGAGTGCCCACGACAAAGAGAAGGGGAGGGAAACGAAACGAAACCCAGCCCCAGAAACAGTGGAGGCAAAAGAGAGAAATTAAAAAACACACCCTCGCGTTACAGTTTGACCCTGTTATGCATTTTCGTTGTGCCGCTCGTTCTAATTAAATGTGTGTAGATCTAATGAGGAAGCCTTACTGTCTGTGTGCCGATAATGTTAATTAGATCGGCAAAGGTGCACGTTCACGCTTGAGGTGGGGATCACAGTAAATGTGCAAGAAAACGCTAATTACGGCTATCACCTCCTGCCGCCGAGAGAGCTGGCAAATTTTTTTTGTGTGTTGTCGGGGAAGGTGTGATCGCGGGGGCGAGATCCTGGGGCAGGTGAACGAGGGTACGAGCGACTGGAGCGAGCGGGCGGATGGACGAGGCGAGGCGCCCTGCTGCTAGATCCGAGCCGCCAATCCTCTCATTGCCAATGGCCAAAGTTGGGGGGGGGGGGGTGCAGGGCGAGTGAGTGAGGTCACAGGGCCCACACGCCTCCTGGCCAAGTGTTCGCTTCGAGAGTGAAACCGTAGGTCTGCCCAGCTGTTAATTTTATTCAGCAAAACTCGACCACCGTTTCTCTCTTAATCGGAGAGTTCTTGGTTTGCTGTCTGAATCGCAGGTTAAGGTGCGGGGATTTGTTTTTAACAGCCATCAAACTGCACTATGTGTGGTTTAAATGTAATTAATTCCGGTGCCCATGATGAGGGGAGCTTCATTGTCATTAAATTAATGTTTTATGATGAGTGTCCAAATTGCATACGTCTTCATTATACAATCCTGTTTGTCTCTTTGTCGATGCAGATGAAGGCCTCTTGAAACAATATCAGTCAATGACCATCCTTGACCAAGCTGCCAGGTGGTAGGCAGCCTAGGACCGCTTCAGATATCACTCACCACTGATGACAGCCATGGCCAGGAATCAAGCTCGCAACACTGGGTTGAAAGCACAGTGTATGCTAACCATTGCCCCACCACTACCCAATTCATTAGATATAAATGCAAAGTTTGAACAGAAATGGTCCGGCTTGTTTTTTTATTCCATCCACCACTGGGTTGGCTAAAATGAGGGTCACGTGGGTTTGAGCATTCAATGACGTTGTCGAGAGTAAGGCCCAATCAACCGTCACAATAGCTTGCCAAGCTCCACTAAAACACGAACGTGTTAGACCCACCACACACCGCATGTGCCAGAAGTTTGTTAAAAATATAATGTAGTGTTTATTTTAATACTGATATTATTTGTGTGTGTGCTTTTTTGTACGTGTGTTTACTGTGTATTATTCGGGAACATATATACTGCAGGTTAAATGCATAATTTAAACTGTTAAGGAAAGTAAGTGGGCTTGGAAAAGCAGAAATAATGGGCGAAGGTCAGGGATTGTAAACTATCAACTTTTTTATTTTACCAGGTAAGGCCCACTGAGCTATTTGGCCACAAATGATAGTTTGATGAAGTGGCTTATCACGTGGACATTTATAGCAGCCAAATACTCTAAACGCACGTTGATTCGAAATGTGGAAGGAAAAACCGGAGGACCCGGAGAAAAATCCACGCGACCACAGGGAGAACATGCAAACTCCAAATATACAGGCATCGTCAGGGATCGAACCAACGACCTCTATGTATACCAGGCGAGGTAGTTAACATCTCGCCACCACGGCGCCCATAGTGACAGAGTGGCAGCCATGGAGTGGAATGCACTCAGGAGGACACCCTCGGTGAAGATGGAGCGATGAAATCACATGGTCTGCAGGCTCTAGGTGGAACTTCACATCACAGAGCCATGAGAGATGGCGATGGCTTGGGGAGGCCTTCATCCAGCAGTGAATCGATCATGATTGATGATTATGTACGAGTGCCGACGTCTGCCATCAGAACGTGGAATGTTACCACCTCTGTGTCAGGACCATCACGAGTGCATTTGAACCACGTGTTGTGTACGTGCCTGCACGTACACACCTACGCTGAGGGTGTTTTCATTTTTGTGCGCGAAGCACCAAATACAATTACGCAGTTTTGTGACAAAGTAGGATTTAAGGAGGCTTAAACAAGCCAGCCGTCTGCAGGAAATATATATGTATTTGCCGCGGTAAAAAAACCGACAACGCAGGAGATCCCCGTGAAACTCATGGCCACATCCGCACAGAAATCACGGCAGCGACAGATGCGGACACTGGATGTACCAATGGAAAATGACAAACTCACCGGCGGTGTGCGGAGACTGTGGTCAACACCCAGAACACAGAACACAAACACAAAGGAGGAGGCATCGCCACAGCGATGATTCACCACTCCGCTACTCCTGACGCAATTGTTTTGGGCTCAACGGCCTCAATGTAAAATAACAATTGTTGTCCCTTTACTAACCAACACTTAAAAGCGTCAAAGGAGGTTAGCAAGCAATGCAGTGGTGATTAAACGCGCTGCGTCAGCCACTCTCCCTCTAGGCACCGCCAGCTCACGTCTGCCCTTTCCTGTGTCTAGCGTTGCCTTGCAGTCTGCACTGCACTTTATTAAAATGTTAAACAAGGCCAATAATTAAACACAGTGACCTGTGATTGTTTCACCTGCGCAACACGCGTCATACTTTGCACCAGGTCGCAAGTACAACCGGGAGCATCGGTTGTGGCAGCCTTGCGGTAGGCGTGATGTTGTGCTCTGGAAACCGGGAGGGAGATCGTTGATCGATTGTCGATGATGGCATTAGTAGTTGTGGATTTTCTCACTTAGCAGAGTGGGGGCCATCTTCCACGACTCCTGACGCAATGATATGGGCTCAACCAGCTCAATTGTTGCTCAACATCACCATTAGCCATCACGAAGAGGGAGTGTTGCGCCTGCACCTTTAAAACAATGACTCCACTTGGAGCCACGTTGCCGTGTGAATTGTAACGAGAGCGGCATCGGGAGCTTGACTCGGGTTTGACAATTAGCGTGCGCCACCCGGTCCCACTGGGATGCCAGTGGTGCAAAGGCTGATATATGCGTGAACTTGGTTATGTATATCGTGGAGAAAGGATTGCAAGAGGGGAGGTCCTTTGGAAGACCGGGATGCAACGTTTTCACGAGGCGCCCGGCAAACACGTGTTTGGCAGAAAAAATGCCACCCAGCAGCAAAAATAAATGTGCAGCTGTATTTTCGTTGCAAGTGAACCAAACATTGAAATAGGCATTCCAGTTGGAATTTACAATGCATAAACTATACAATGCTGCTACTATGAGCACGTTCAGATTTCTGTTTTACTTACAAAATGCTAACTGCTGCTACTGTTACGATGATGATGATGATGATATTGTGGCATGGAGATATGGGAAAAGATTCATCGGGTAAAGATATGATAACGATGATGGTGGTGGTGATGATGATGATGATTATAATACTGGTATTAACATGGAGACATGGTAATGACCTCATCAGTGAATTGATGATGATGACCGTGACGATGGATTTTGCTGTTCTCCAGGGCAGCTGGTTTCATCTCTCACAGGGAGGGTAGACGGATGAGTGCGAGAGTTGATGGGCGCCAGCTTACCTGCAACGATGGCTGCTTGTCTGATTTTGGAGACTTCACACCGCCTCCTTGATGCTGCTGATGCTGGTGCTGCTGATGCTGGTGCTGCTGGTGCTGCTGTTGCTGCTGCTGCATGAGGTACTGTCTTGCTGCAGCATGAAGAACCTGACATATTACACACACATACACATTGTCGTATTTTATTAAAGTTACACTTTTATTTGCTTGAAGGCCGCCCCCTGCCGTGTTGGTCATTGAGGTTGTTAGACCATACTTCACCACACTGGTCAGTGCGGGTGGTGAAGGGAGGCCACAGGACCTCCCTTCACCACCCGCATCACCCCCCTTCAGGTGTACTTCTTGTAGCCATCTGGAATGCACTTCCTTCCGTTATTAGGAATATACTGGAGCTAGCATATCTAGATTGAAAACTAATTTCTTTAGAACTGATTTTTGTGTTTAGATTGTTGTCCTTCTCGAGCACCTCCGATTAGCGTGGTTGGCTACGTACGGTGCGAAACAAGTTCAACACGCATACGTACACACACACATACAAATCCCACTTTGCCTCTGATGTTAGCCACGGCCGGGAATCGAACTCAGGCGTCTAAATTGGTGGCGAGGGCGCGATAACCACTGCGCCGCCGCTCTCTCTCCACACACCGAAAACATCCCAGTGGGTGCTTGCATGGAAAGGGGGCAACAAGGAGGGTAGGGCAGGAAGCGTGAGCGAGGTTTAGTCGTGGCACGTGGTCAGGTTATGCAGAGGGAGCACGCGGAGGCAGTGATGTAAGGGGGCCCCCATAAGATTAGAGTTCTTATCTCGGCTCCTGCCTTTTCTTTATGCTATTTCACTGCGTTTATCTTCCTGAAATGCCCACGTGCATGAGAGAGAACATTCACCGAGGACAATTGGGACGTTCCGGGCCGTGTTTTTGTGAGACTGGCTTCTGCGGATGCCGTGCTCTGATGGCCGGCGGACGTCGCGAGAAGAGGTCACGGAAGGGGTCCTAGCCACTGCGACTTTAGCATTATCGCGAGCTGCCACAATCGCGAATCCTAGCTGTTCAGTTGCTGCACAACTGCCTCCGCAGTTACAGAGGACAAAGACAACCCCACAACGAACAGGCGTGTCACATTTTGACGTCTCAAACACGTACGCTGAAGTCCAATAAGGAAAACTTTGCATGCTTTTACGTGTTAAATGCAAAAACGCAAGTGCTATTTTGTCACTGATGGTCCTTGCAATTAACAATAACAATTAATAATTCACGGCGCCATGGTCATTCTCGCCACGCCACGGCAGTCATGGGCGTTGCTTGACCAAACTTCACCACGCTGGTCACTCGCACCGATACCACTCACCACTGAATTTAGGTGTGGCCAATAATCACCCTCCATGGACTGGATTTGCGGGCAGTGTGGTAACCACCGGGCCACTGCTCTTTAGCTCTCTGAGTGGACAAATTGAAGACAGCATGGCACAAAAGAGGGAGGTGATGGCACCTTTGTCTCTCCAGCACTGATGTTCACAAACCACGCCAGGTGCTCTGTTTAGACCAAGCTGACCTAGGGGAGGCTCAAGCCAGGTTGAATTACCAATTTCCAATGGTAAGCGAAACCAGAAATAGAGCCCCGGTCGCCAGGATTATCGTGCACGGTCAATGCACTCGCAAATACTCAAAACACTCAACGGTAACGCTGCTGCAAACGAATTTTTTTCATTTCAGTTTCAGTTTATTTATTTGGTATAGCCCTGTGAGCCATTCGGCTCTTGAATCGGGCGCAATCACACAAACAAAAAAACGAAAACACGAACAAGAAAATATCTTAAAGTGACTATGTGACTGTGCAAACAGAAAATCCATGAAAAAAACAGCAAAATATTCCTGAAAAAGCACCGTACACCAACGCTGTGTGCAAAAATCCCAGTGGGATGCAAGTCAAACAACAACAACAACAACCACAAGAAAACTTAGATTAAGGCCATCAGTCTAAATCCGTACTACAACAAAACAAACATGTCCAAACCAAAAAACGTTTTCGAAATCACCAAAAAATAAAGCCATAATTGCAATGTAACAGTGATCATAGGGACTGTGACCGAATTTTTTTACAATAAACTACATAAATATCATGTAATACTAAACCCTAGAGCCATAGCTGGCTGCATGAATTACTCCACAACAACAGAAGCATCAGTCGGAGTATCAAAATTTTCAATGCACATTTAAGATCAGCATGCTAAAGCAACATACAGATAATACTTTGCAGCGTCATCCGGAGCGAAATATTTTATTTTATTTTACGCCAATGAATAGTAGTGGCAGCTAGGGGTGTACAACTCCTCTAGAGCAGTTTTGAGAGAAGATCTCATTGGTAGCTATTCAAGTTGCAGTATATTGGCAATAGCATTCCAGACCCTGGGGGCATCAATAGCAAAGGCCCTTCCTCCAGTTTGTATACGGCAATAGGGAATGTGAAGCTGGTAAATGAGCGAAGACCTGAGGTCAAATTTGTTCTTTGAAACAGAGAGGAGATCCAGCAAGTAGTCTGCGGATTTTTTTGTAAGTACATCGTGAATATAAATTTTGATTTAAAGCTTTCGTGACTGCAGGGATTCATATTCTTGTTTCTTCCGGTAAAGTCATGTAGAAGGGAAACAATAAAATAATAAAAATATAAAACAATAAAATTCTCACTACGTTTCGACTGCAACACAAGCAAGAAAATTTGAAAAAACAAATTTTCAAATTTTCTTGTTGTGGGTTTCACACCTGATGATGATTGCTTGTGTTGCAGTCGAAACGTCGTGAGAATTTTATTGTATTATATTTTTATTATTTTATTGTTTCCCATCTACGTGACTTTACCGAAAGAACCCAAGAATATATATATACATCGTGAATAAATAACATCTGGTGTACAAGCCGTCGAACATTAAGAGATGTTAAGTTTGACCCAATGTAGAGATCACAGTGGTGAGTCCTATATGGGCAGTTCAATGTAAACCTTAAGGCCGAGTGATAGATGGAATCAAGCTTCTTCAGTACAGTACTTGGGGCTGATTTATACACGATGTCACAGTAGTCAAGTAGAGGCAGCATGGTAGCTTTTATCAATTCCAAACGGAACATACGGGGGAAGCAGTGCTTGTGTCGATACAGAAAACCAATTTTTATTTTGTCGTTGTACCAATATAATCAATGTGATCGTTAAAATTCAGTTGTGAATCCAGGATGACCCCAATACACTTATAGATCTTGACTTGCTCAATTTGATAATTATTTAAGGAATGTAATTGGGGAAAAATAACTTCCTGCTTTAGTCCTGGTGAGAAGCATAGCACCTTGGTTTTGGAGGTATTCAGGACTAGTTTAAGAGCAACTAGCTGATGTTGTAGTTTGTTGAATTCACCCTGGAGCTTAGCAATCACGTCATCCAGAGAGCGGCCAGCAGTAATCAGCATCGTGTCATCTGCAAAAAGATTTACCCTGGAATGATCCAGGTCAGTGCCCAAGTCATTGACATAAAGAGAGAACAAAAGGGGGCCGAGGATGGAACCCTGTGGAACCTCTTTTGTTATCTTAACACTGTTTGACCTCCAACCATCTGTGAATACAGTTTGGGTGCGAGAAAAGAGGTAATTTTGTAACCATTTTACTGCGTTTTCGGAAAAACCGAGGCAACTTAGTTTACGAAGCAGAGTGTTGTGGTCTACTGTATCAAAAGCTTTGGACAGGTCAAGAAAAAGACAGGCACAGTACTGCTTATTATCAAGGCTACTGTAAATGTGATTCAGAGAGTCTAATGCAGCAGATGTGGTGCTGTATTTTTTTCGGAACCCAGATTGTTTTAGATGTAGTAGATTGTTGGTGGACAGGAAACTGCTAATTTGGTAGTTCAATAATTTTTCAAAAAATTTCATCAACGGGGACAAAATTGAGATAGGTCGGTAGTTATTTGGATCATCTTTAGGGCCCCCTTGTGAAGTGGACAGACATAGGTATATTTCCATTCTAGAAGAACTGAAGCTTCTTTGATTAATAGGTTGAAAATATGGGCTATAGGTTTGTGTATTAGGTGACCAACAGTTAGTAGAGGAGGACCCTTTGAGATAGGACAGTTGTTTCAGAACATTACTTTCGTGGATTGGCTAAATTCGTTTAATGTTTGGACAGGGGTGTAGGAATTTGCATGAGCAGGGGTGACTCCCAATACATTATCAAAAAGATTACCAGCTTCAGAAAAATGAAGGTTAAAATTGTCAACAATTTTTTTGGGATCTGAAAAATATTCCCCATTTCGGTTAAGCTCAACGTGCAGATTGTCTGTTTTGGATGCCTTTTCGATACATTTGATTGTTTTCCAGAAAAACGAGAAGTGGAATATTCGTAACGAGGAATATAGTAACGAGAAGAGGAATATTCGTCGCTTATTAAGTAAACATTTCCAGTGGCATGTCAACCATGCCCTAATCTAGTCCTTCAGTGCATTTAATTACAACTCGCCTATAACACACACAGAAAAGACTGCCGCAGCCAAACAACCGAGAATATCCCAGAGAAATTACGGAGCCCCATTATTCTGCAACACTTCACGTTACAGCGGCAAGGAGAGATGTTGCGAGCGGCTCTTCATTAATACCGCTATTATTTACTCCCTCGTTTTATTTTTCAATAAGCCGGCGCAAATACGACCAAGGAATGCCGCATCCTGCGCGGCTCGTTACCGTCGCGCGCCACGCTTAATGACGTTCTGCCACGGGGACCAAAAACATAACCGAGACCCATTACTGTCCTCCTGTCGACTTTGGTTTCGAGGGTGGTGGAGAAGAAAAGGGCCCTTCTTAATGACAAGAGGCAGACTCGTTATGAACCGGGCCGCAATTGTTTTAATGTTTATGGATATAAAAGATCCCATTAAAGTTGCACTCACGTGAGTGGGCTATTTTACCACCGTCGTAAAAAGGGGGCAAATTGCCCAGGCGCTCACTTTTGTAAACACCGGGCGACGCCGTTTACAACGCCGCCGACTCGAGTGAGTAGGTGAAATCTCGCAGGCATCCCGCGAAGGTTTAAGTGCGGCGCTAATCTACGGTCGGTCAGTGGGTTGGTCGGTGGGTCGGTGGGTCGGCGGGGACGGGCGGCTCTTTGATGAGATCATTCTACTTGCGAGACAAGTTCAAATCCCAGTCGGGGTGGGTGGGTGGGCCGGTGGGTGAGGTTGCGGCGGGGATTGACTTAACCCATAACCACCCCACCAGGGTCAATAAAAATAACAACCACCACCAATTGACTGGCCCTTGTCATAGGAAAGTGGAATTTGATCACCAGCTCAGAGTTGCCATTTGAGATTAGCACCGCTCCACACTCATTGAGGGTTTGGAGATATATTTTTAATGCCTCCTAACCGATATTAAATATTATTCGCTTAATTCACTAAGCTCTGGTTCTCACCACGTCTCCATTACTTCCGCTAACTTCAGATGTACGGTAGCAGTTGGCAGCGGCTAAAATGGCAGTTGGCAGTGATATGCCTGTGAAGCTGAGAAATTACATTACTGCAAAACCAATCAGTGGCACGTACGGTAAGCCGAGATTTCTTGTCAACCCTTAAGAATGATGAATGGACTCTTATAATGTGAATAAAAGTAACAACTGTTTATTTATCCAGGAAAGCGTTCGCCGAGTCTAAATACTTTTTCAGCAGGGTTCTTTGCTGGGGATGTTTGGCCAATGTCTAAGCCGAGTATTTTTTGCATGTGGGAGGAAACTCGAGTGCCAGGAGAAACCTACACGGGTACCGGGCGACGACAGTGAAACCGCACAGATGGGTTTGGCCGGGCAGCTCGCTGTGCGCTACGGCAAGCGATTGCCGCTCACGAAACAAGATATCCCGCGCGATCCACCAACGCCACACACACACAATATTTATATCGAATGAAACCCGTCGGTTTAAAAAGCACAGATGCAATTAGCGTGATTTCAAGAGCTGTGTCTAAAAATTTCACAACGTTTCTTCCGCGACAAACCCAAGCACACCCCCCCCTCTAAATCCCCCCCTTTTTCCTGTAAACTTGTATAGCACATGCAGCACGTATCGAATTGCAAAAACATCATTTAAAAAAAAAACGCGGAGCAGTGTGGATGACAAACTGAGGCAGGAAACGTAGAACGTTAAGAAATAACACTGCCGCTAAGCTGTGACACTGTGCAGCCTGCCGCATGTTGTGTGGCCACTGCACTTGCCGATGTGTGGAGTGGATGGATGGCGGAGGCGAGAGAGTGGCCACTGTTTGTGCAGCCGACAAGGCCGAGCGATGCATGCCGAGTGGCGTTCACATCGCATGCTTGGTCTGCGTTGAGACGCCTCGCCACCTCTCCTGCTGCCTTCACGACGCTCAGACGCGAGGCAGGCAGCAGGTAGGGCAGCAGTGGACAATGAAGTTTTA